TGACCAAAATTGAAGTACAGAAAAATACAAAATATAATATTTAATAGAAAAATTTGGATACTAGCAAGAAAAAGGAATTAAAATTTCAATCCTTCGTCTTACAAACTTAATACAACCTTTACTCACAATTCGAAACACTCGTCGAACATGGGATTCAGAGTCTTTTTCTTCACGTTGGTGTGTTGCTCGGCACAGTGCTCGAACACTCTTCGTGGCAGCAGTTCGATTATCACGAATGGATCGCTGTAACCGTTCGGATCTAGCGGTATCACGTCTCTAGCGTTTATTACTTCGACGCACAGGGAATCGTGATTCAGATAAGCTCTCACTGTCAGAACACCGTATTCTGATGCCACAGTGTTCAATTGGTCCTGAAAAAAATTTGCTCCTTGAATTATTTACATTTCACATTCGAACGAGTTGCGATTGAAATTATTTAACGTAAGAGTAAATCGAAGTTGCTGTAAAATTGTATTATACAAGTTTGAGAACGATGAAAATAGGAAGTTTTATCTAAAGTTCGTCAACTTAAGGGAATAAAGCTTCGCGGCGATAGAAGAATGGTTTCAGCGACAATAGGAAAGGGAATGCAATACGTAATTGAATTCTACGACAACCTGAAGTCGTTGTCGATAGAATCGGTCGATCAAGAAGGTCGTGTCCATTTTGTGATATTGAAGGCGTTCCTCCACATTCAAGAAGCTCTGAGAATGAAGTGCTTCGTACGGCAAACCCTTCTCGTCCTCGTGGAAGAATTTTATCAACAGGTCCAGGGCTTCGTGAAGCCTTTCGTAAAACATCGCTGGCTTGTCCTGTGTATGAATAAATTTACGGATAAACTAAGTTAATTGAATTTTACTTCATTTATTAAAGACAGCAATGTATCTTGTAAAAATTCTATTCGACTCGCAATAAATGTAAAATTTATTTTAGAATTATCACAGAATTAACGCATTTTTCACTACGAAACTATAATTTGCTACTTTGCATTTTAGTATACCTTCAAACCAAAGTCAAACTTTATGTTTTTAAATTATACAGAGTGTCTCGGGCAAGTGTCGCCAAGAAATATCAGGACTATTCCTTAAATTTGATGAAAAATTATTTTAAACGAAAGTTGAACTATATTTAAGTATGCATAATTTCAGTAAATCAGAGAATTTCATGCAGATTCATAATTAAAGAAATAGAAGCTGCATAGACAATTGTTTTATTCGTTAAATATAACGAGTACTATATTTTGGGTTTATTTACACACTTTTACTTGTTACGTGCATTCAGACTATTTTTGTGCCTTCAAATTTTCTGCCTTTTCGTCTATTTATTATGCTCATACAGTCATAAATAGTCACATTCGCCACGTAGTAATAAAATCCCAAGTACACGAGTACTTACGCCCGCATTTCCGTCCATCTGGTTGCTCAACTCAGCCAGCACCACCTCCCAGATGTCCTGAAGAACCCGATTGAAGTTCACCGTAAGCAGAGACGAGTTTAGAACCACCAGGTGCATGTCTAAATATTCGAGCAACGGCGCGATAGCCTCTGAAGTGGGCAAACTGTCCGGCGACCAAGCCAGATGGAACATAGCCTTCTTCAGGGGTGGTCTCATCTGCGGATCGAACAAAGAACCAGTTGCATCTAAACATTTCCCTCTGTTCCTTTTCTTTAGGATTAAAACGAGACGTGAAAGGCTTTCACCGAGTGCAAATTCTTTCTTATTTATCATCCTTTTCTCTGACTCACGACAGGATGAGGAATGTTTCGAGAAGATTTGTTTTTCTGCACATTTCAAATTGCTTTTCTTAACTTCTTTCTCGAGTCGCATTCTGTTAATTATTCAGCAATAATTAACCCTTTCTTTTGCGAACCTTTTTCAGTAATTTTTTTCTTTGCTTCGGATACTATACTATATTGAGAGAAGTTTATTTTTTATTTAAATACTGTACCGAGTGCTGAGAATATTAAATTTTATATACTACACTGAGAGAAATTTATTTTTTACTTAAATAGTGTGCTGAGAATGTCAAATTTTAAATACTGTGCTGAGAATATTAAATTTTAAATACTACACTGAGAGAAATTTATTTTTTACTTAAATACTGTGCTGAGAATGTCAAATTTTAAATAATGTACAGAGAATATCAAAATTTAAATACTACACTGAGAGAAATTTATTTTTTACTTAAATACTGTGCTGAGAATATTAAATTTTAAATACTACACTGAGAGAAATTTATTTTTTTTTTAAATACTTTGCTAAAAATATTAAATTGTAAATACTGTACCGAGAGAAACATTATTTTTCATTTAAATACTGCGCTGAGAATATTAAATTTTAAATACTGTACAGAGAATATTAAAATTTAAATACTGTACCGGGAGAAATATTATTTCTTATTTAAATAGATTTTAAGTTTTTAAATTTTAACGAATGCATCCGTCTCTTTTTTTGTTTTCTATTACGCGCTCGGAGTACCGACCTTAGTGCCAATCCTTGAGACGATTTGATTTATGAACAGCAACATTTGTCCTGGCGTCTGTTCCAGCGGTGACGTCAAAGCGTTCCTCCATTGCATCCGTGCAGAATCCCCGGCTTGACACTCCAAGGCTGTCAGAACCTTTTCAACCAGCAGCTCCTCGCCTAACTTCAACAGCCATCTTCTAACGTACTCGAGGCCGTTGATAGCCACGCACATCTGTGAATTCGTTTCGAATCGTTTAACAACGCGGTTCTATCGTGAAAAATGGGCTTGTAGTGTTGGGAACGTGACTAGATTGAAATATTCCCGAAGAATCATTTTCTCGTTATTTCTGTTCCCTTATTTTTATTTCAATTTACAGAAATAAATTAAAAATTCAAATTTTGCAAAGTAATTTTGTTAAGGACACGTTTGAAGTAATTTCGAATTCGCTGATTTAAGTTTGTCTGTGAAATATTAAATTTCAAGTTCTACTTTGATAGAAATTTGTATTTTAATAGAATGTTGATATATCATTGAGATAACGATGTAGCAGTTCTTTTACTTTTCATGTCGAAGTAGCTTATTATACGATAAAATTAATGCAGATTAAATAGAACATCAAATGTTCTTACTGTAAATCAAAATTTGAAAATCAACCAATAAGAAATTCTTCAATATGAAATGTTCCATTAAATTGTGTATTATAATTGATGCAATTAAATGTAATAAAATAACACTAAACAATGTTTTAACGTTTGCTCAAACGAGAAAAAGGCTGAGCTTAATATTGTTCAAATATTAACACGTGCAGCATTGAATTTGATCGTTCCTCTGTTAATGTACGATAAACTGCACTATCTTCTTCATTCACGTCGCCAAGGCATAGTGCAAGTGTATTTAAAAGGAAGTTTGCTTCGTTCAAAGTGTTGTAATTGTTGCTAGAACTAATTTTGCAAAGCGGTGTCGTGTTATACTAATGCAAAGCAGTCTCTACCTCAGCGATTACCTCGTCTGTTGTCTTATATGGCGTCTGTTCCTCGTAATATCCACTGTCTGCTAACTTTTGATGGGTGATTTCCGCGTAGTAAGCCGCTGAACTGCATATCGCCTGTAATGCAAGCACGAAACTTTGCTAAATTAGACGAACTGACTTTAATTCAGAATAAACGCACGTCAAATTCTACGAACAGTAAATAATATTAATTAAACTACTTCTAAACGACGTCTCTAAGTATTTTGCAAATTTTAAGTTTCAAACTTCACTTTCTAGTTTCTTTAATTAAAATTCTCTAAAATTGTCAATCTCTAGCTCCAAATTTTTCAATTTGAATATTTATAGTTTCTAGGACTTGCGGTTGATCTTTCGATTGTTCAAGCCTCTAGCTCCAAATTTTTCAATTTGAATATTTATAGTTTCTAGGACTTGCGGTTGATCTTTCGATCGTTCAAGCCTTGCCGGTTTTTGCACGTGTATGCCGACTAATGTTCTAAGGCTTCGAAGGACCAGTT